ACCATAAATGTTCCTTTTCTTTTTCTTGTAAATATTCGTATTTTAATCTGAGAAAAAATGTCATGATACAATATCCACGTTTTTGTTCTCTTTGGCGACGCCAATGGCGAAAAGTAGAAAATGCAGTTGTGTCTGGATCTTGGTTCAGCGTAAAAAGCAAAGACAGCGCAAAAGACACGTGCAGTGATGAGTTGGGTGAGACATATAAATGCACTAATAATGAATAATAATAATTTGCATAGCACCTTTCATACTAGAGTTGCAGTCCAAAGTGCTTCACCGTAAGAAAATCTCTTAGACTAGTTACAAGTAAAAAACATAAAAATAATAGACTAGAATAGATTGAAAGTTACAACAATAAAAAGGTGCATTAAAAGGAGGGTAGTGCAAATTCACAATGTGATTTCAAAAAAATAAAATGGCAGCGATTGGTTGACAATGACGATAATTAAAGCTTTGAGCTACGTTATGTGATGAAAACTCACAATTGTCATACAGACGTGTTGAGTAGGACAATATTAAGTCCCTCCTCCATTCCATTCCCCTCACCTCCTTCCTCCTAACTCACCCTCTCACCTCTCACATCATTTTCACAATACAATCAGGATTACAATTAGGATTACAATTAGGATTTACAAAGACTTGATTTAAAAATCAAAATCAAATCAAATGTGTATATGTGTATGCCTCACTGTGTAAACATGTACAGTATAAATTAATTACTGTTTCATATGTTGGTTACTAAAGTATTTTTTATTTATTCAATTTATGTGTTAATCAACACTTTCATAAATAAAACAACCCATGGTATGAAATAGGAGATGTTTGTACAGATGGTGTTTGTATACTTGTCACACTGTAAACGTTCAATTCCATTATTTAGTTATGGTTTGACTGGACTGTACTTATATATCTCTTTATCAGGTATTTTCGTCCCCTCAAAGCTCTTTACAAACTACGAGTGATTCACCCATTCACACCTCATTCATGCAGAGCAGCACCACTTGCTCTAGGGAAGCTAACACACACACACACACACACACACACACACACACACACACACACACACACACACACACACACACACACACACACACACACACACACACACACACACACACACACACACACACACACACACACACACACACACGTGCACGCACGCACTCACACACCGTTGGCCATCTGGAGCAACTCAGGGTTCAGTAACTTGCCCAAGGACACATCAACAAGTTAACTGCACGGGCTGGAATCGAACCCGAAATGTAATTGTATTGAAGGTAACATGGAGTCCCTCACCGCAATAGAGTAAAAGAACAAGAGAACGTGGAGATATGCCTTATGTGATGTGCTTTTAATTCAACAACACACACATTTTAAACCTCATTTTAGTACATGCGTTATTATTATTTGCAAAACGTTGGTAAAATCCTGCAAGAAAAAAAAGGTCCCTGTCAGGGTTTTACTAACAATTACTTAATTTATCTTGAGAAGTAGGAACATTTCTCAACCCATAAACGGACAATAAACACGTGAATCAAAACTCACATTTGAAATAACCTAATTTTGGTATGAAAAATTGTACATCTAAAAGAAAATACTCAAATACAATACTCCAAGATTGTGATTATAATATTTTTCATCACAAATCCACAGATAATTACAGACACCTCTGCAGGATATGCATCTTTTTAATCTCCTTTTGCTCATAGTTTTTCTTTTCTTTTTTTCATTTAATTGTCATCAGCAACAATTCTCTGATAAACCCGTTGGACCTTATCTGCTTCACCCTGTCTCTGAAGCTGGTGCAGAGGTAGGGGCAGAGCAAACATTAGACTTTCATTTGTCTTGTGGTCGCGTACACAACTCGAAGGAATGTTAATGTTGCTCTGTTTCTACTGACTGTGTAACAGTAACAGCTTGATGCAGACCGAAAACAGCACTGCAAAAACCCACAATGGTTTATTCAGTGTTGCCTTAATCACATGTGAGAGGTTGAACTTAGGAATGTCCACTTTGAGTCAAATGGATTGATGGACTTAAATTAAAAATGATTCTACACAAGCACCATTTGTTAGCGCAGAACAAATACGAGTATTTTCTGAGTTTAGAAAGTTCAACCTTGGCTCATAATAAAGCAATAAAAACTGTTCAGCCCTTGGAGACAAAAAACATACAGTAATTGAAACCACCATTTTTGCAGCTTTTTAAAGAGATGCCCAATGCTTAAACATCTTCCTACGGACGGCATCAAGGCCTGACCCCTGACTTTTTTTATATCTTTTTTTTATTCATTGTGTTCTGTTGCTTAGGAGCCATTATTTTAAAGTGATTTGAATAAAATATGACATGCAGCACAGATGCATTGGCTGTCCATTGTCACGCCTTTTCTATACATCAATGTTTCTGCAAAGGAGACACATGTCTCCTCTTCACTTGGTCCATGAGATGCATTTTAGAAATTGAGAATACTTCAAAATGGAGTGCTAAGATTGATTTTCATGTCCTAGGCAAGTGGGTTGAAAAGATGAGGAGGAATGGGGACATGGCCATGGTGGTGGCTGTTTATCTTGTCGCTTTTTTTTTTCTATGCCCCCTTGGAGGCAAAAACTTGATTCATACAGCTTTAAGTAGACCTAAAAGCACAATAAGTACCATCTATATACCCCAATGCATCATATGTTATCGTCATAAAACAGCTGTCTGAAAAATGTAACAAAGCCAAATGTTGTGTAAGATGTTATTTCAAGTTTGAATGTACAAAACATTTTCTTCCATGAAAATACAGTGCCCAATACAGAGTCAATACTTGTAACTTTCAGCCTCTGCTCTCGATGCTGTGGGCTCGTCGCTGCAGAGTAACAATGATGATAGAGTTTGTACCCCATCATCTGCCCTCCTCCCTTAGTGGTACCACACACACACACACACACACACACACACACACACACACACACACACACACACACACACACACACACACACACACACACACACACACACACACACACACACACACACACACACACACACACACACACACACACACACACACACACACACACTCCCCACAGAGAGGGTCCATCCGGCCATAATTACACTCCTGCCATAGCTATAGGAGGTGGGGCGGCTGTAGCTGGGAACAGCAAAGAGTCTCACAGCAGGTGGGGGGGAACAGCTCACTGAAGGGAGCTCAAAATCAACCAAGCAAGGGCCACCACGGGGCCTAATTACTGGGTGAACATGACTAATGATGAATCTGCTCTCTGCTGTGGCGCTGTCCGAAATGTACAGCCCTCATCAGCCTCACAGTAGTGTGCAGAAATGTAAAGCAGTGTATTACTACTGTGAATAGACTTCCCAAAATGCATGCTGCTTGGTCTCTATATAATATTCCAGTTATACAACAAACCATAACTAAATAATGGAATTGAACGTTTACAGTGTGACAAGTATAAAAACACCATCTGTACAAACATCTTTTATTTCATACTAGTGCTGCTCAATTAATCGTATTTTAATCGCAATTACGATTATGGCTTGCAACGATTACGAAAACAACGTAATCGAAATAAAATGGTTATCTTTTTTATTGGTTTTTCAGCTGAATTATACTTAAAGTTCAGGGTAATCAACTGTTAAAAACATACTGTTCACATTTTTTTTCTCCAATAAATTGATGTTTTCAAAGTAAATAGATAATCGTTTTTAATAATCGTGATATCAATTATTGACCCAAATAATCGAGATTATGATTTTTGCCATAATCGAGCAGCCCTATTTCATACCATGGGTTGTTTTATTTATGAAAGTGTTGATTAACACATACATTGAATAAATAATAAAAAATACTTTAGTAACCAACATATGAAACAGTAATTAATGGATGCCACATGGACCTGCTTTGTGTCGCTGCATGATTCATATAGTAACTATTCAGGAGCATCAGTTTGTACCACGTATTTTTGGTATAATGTCAGAAATTGAGGCAGCTCCTTTGTGCAAATTGGTGATTTGGAGAGGGGCTATTTATCTATTTGATATCTGCGAATGTGTCAGAGGACATGAGGGGTGAATAAGAATGATTTCTTCAAAAAACGTTTCGCAAGAGAGAGGCAATCAATCTGTGTAGTGAATGATCCTGTCCTTGGAGAATTCTTGGTAGTTGGTGGCTGTGACTAATGTGAGTTTCCCCCCGCCCCCCTCACACACACACACACACACACACACACACACACACACACACACACACACACACACACACACACACACACACACACACACACACACACACACACACACACACACACACACACACACACACACACACACACACACACACACACACACTGTAAGAATGTACACAAAATATATGGTAGAGCAGTTTCCCATGAATTATATGTTTGACAGGTTGAATATATCCTGGGTTTCCCAACGTTGTTCAATCAAGATAACGATTAAGGGGAAATGGATCTCCCCAGGGAGAGCGCCTCACATACAGACAGGCTCCCAGAGATGAATATACAGTGCTGTCGGTGTGGAAGAAAAACAAACGTTACTTTTTACTGGCAAGATAAACGAGGAACAGTGCTGTAACTGAAGCTGTAGGAGTTTGAGGAGCTGTCCAGATGCTGAAAGAGCACCAGGCAGCCTTTCAATAAGAGCCTGTGGCTCTGAAGGAACCGATGCAATTTTAGCACTTACTGAAAATAAACTATTCATTTGTTGTGTTTCCCCTAAATGTTCAGCTGGACGATGTATTCGAGCTGCTAACTTAGAGATGCATGCAGAGAATCACCCCTCGGACCTTTCATAAATCAAAACGGCTTAAACAGGAGATAATTAACACGTTCCACACTATTATATCTATTTATCTGTTCTAAAGTAACAAGAAAGAGAACACACTCGAAAGTTAAGTCTTTATTCTCCCCCTTATTTATTTGGTGCAAAACACCGATCCGTACAGCAGAGCTTCACCTTGCCTTGAATCTGCAACGAGCTGTCAGTTGCTGCCCCGCATGTAGGAGAATGCAGACAGGAGGGGTGGAGTTCACAGCTTCTACTTTTCAGACGCTGCTCGGGCAGAAGAGCTCATTCTGTGCCTGGTAAACAGCGGAGTTGGCACTTATGCGTCCTGGCATGTGATCCCACTTTAGTTAAATCAATCGCCTGACTGCTGCAGCCTCCCATTAAACTTTCCATGCTGTTGCCCGTCCAGTGGACAGCACTTAGGGGGTTTGTCTGCAACGTATCCGCTCCTGCTCGCTCTTCCACTGCTCTCCGTCTCTCCACCGCGGACTCTCCCGGTTCAGAGGGACTCACGCGGCTCGGGGAGCTGGCCCGGGTCTCCTGCACACATGGAGGGAGACGTAATGGACAAGGTGGAGGCCACAGCCACGGTGTGTGACTTCGATCCCATCAGTGGCAGCATCCCGGCCACCAAGGTGGAGATCACCGTGTCCTGCAGGTGAGTCCCCTCCGGTGTTGTGCCTCTGCGTCAGGGGCTTGGGGAGCTCCGCGTGCTAGATGTGTGTGTTTGGCTGTGCCACCGTTTTAAGTAATGTGTCATTTTAACATTTAGCTGCTGAAAAGACTAAAACATGTTTAACATTTTATAGAATAACTTTATTAAACGATAAAATGACTGAAGTCCTCATAGTGATCATTGCTCTTCTGCTTAAACGATTCACAGATAGACCTCATTGGAACATGTAACCATTTGAGTGACTTTTCGTTAGAAATGTGAATTAAAAAAACACCTAATCAGCAAAGCACAAAGGGATGCCTTCAATATAGTTAGGAAAAAGCCAACTTTTATGCCTTTGCTTAGTTTCCCCCGTGTATTATTGTTTTGTACCTTTCGATGTCTCTGTCAGTGTGTGGGTCTTCTGCGCTGTGTGTGTGTGTTTGGCGCGCGCAGGGTCGCGGTCCACATGAGATTTCCATCGTCATAGAGTTTATTCGCGTGAAAGAGGTTTCCCCTGAGACAACTTGTCGTGCGTGGAGCCATGTTCAGCTTCACTGGCTCCAGAAACCACAATTGTTTGTAAAATAAACGTAAAAACACCCGTTTGAATTAAATATGTTTGTCCTCAATGTCCATTAGACTTGAACTCAGCCCCCTCCCCCAATACCTAAAAAATACCACGAAGATTGCAAGTGCCTCGGATAGATGGGGTGGGGCAGCACAGGTTGCGAGTCACAGTATACTCTGCTGCAACATGCAGTATGCTGTCTTCACTGATACAATTGCAATTAAGGTCTCTCATGGAAATGGTTAATTTGTGTCCGAAGGCACCTTTCTGTGCGTAATTGTACCATAATCCACAATGTTTAGCTCTTTAGCTCCGGGCAGCATCAGAATTATGTGCATGTAAATGGTGTTTTCCCATATGCATTGCTGTTAAAAATGCTATTGAGATTTCAGATGTTAATGTTGTTAAGCCACAGGCAAAAGTTGTTTCAACAAACACCTTGCTATCATCCTTTTCTTCATTATCGTTTGATTTCTATTGATACTCTGCATTTACTCAGGAGGGGACATTTTGGAGAGGAGACTGATTGTCTTTTTATATAAATGTCATCCATTTTAAAATTCTAAAGTTGTTCAACAAACCCAACATTGCTGTAGCCATGTAGGAGACATTTTGTATATTAATTAATTAGTCACATTTCAGAAGGAATCTGTTAACCTTTACAGAGTTGACAGGGAGAATGGTGCAGCCCTGGGGAGAGAGGGGCTGCTTAGAACAAGACGGCAAGCATTAGGGCTGCAACTAATCATTATTTTCTATATGATTCATCTGCAGACAATTTTCTAGATAAATAAATTAATAGTTTATTTGGTCCAAACCCCAAAGTTATTCAATTGAAAAGTATGTAAACCAGAGAAAAGCAATACATCTCAATAACTGTGAAGCGGAAAACCCAATTTCCTGCTATTTTTGCATAATTTATTTTATGATAAGCGATTAATATGATGAATTGTGTGAGATAATTTTTCTGCTGATTGACCCTTTAATCAGCACTTCAGGATCTTGTGTTATGTAACAACGTCTTTTAGTTATGGAGCTTATCGTGTGTTTCTATTGTGGGGCATGTTTTCTGAGAAGCAGCTTGTGTTGTTTCCCTGGTGGTACACAGACCTTCATACTCTGAGCTGGATATGTTTGGATGCCCCCCGGCTCTGTTGATCTGCTGCTCCCTCAACTGTCATTAATGTCTCTCCAAACAAAGACTTGCTCCAGGACAGAGTATGATATAAGAGAATCCCTGCTTTCTTTGGTCACACATTGTCTGCTTTTAACGGCAAATACTTCAGGTCCTGCATTTTCTTCTTTAGAACTTGCTGCAGCATGTCATGTCTGACCTTTGAGGATTGCTGCAAAGATCAAACACTGGACAGCTCAAAAGTTGAACACTTACCAAATAAACAGCTATGCATGACGCCATTTCTCCCACTTATTAGCAAGTGTGTCTTTGGTCCATCAAGGAGCAGCTGACAAAAACAATGGGTGTTATTTGGGTTAGAGGCACAACTCTGTGTAATTGATTTAGTAAGCCTGTGAGCTTGGAGATTGCACAGCACATGGAATTGAATTGCGGCCTTCAGGCATTCCCATAACCCATTGCCAATATAACAGCAAGCCCCCCTGACAAACTGGAGGAACTGAAGCAGACAACCTCTTATCAAAGCAAGTGTATATCGCTATGATAGCACATTGTTCTCAGTCTACGGTTGCGTTCCAATAGTCCATTTAGCTTAGGAACCTTCCTAACCAAGTGAAATGACCCGGAAGTACGTCAGTGGCAGCCATGTTAAGTGCCGTTTCAATTCTCTAAATGAAAGGAAAGGAGGTTTCAAACTTCCTTTATAACCTCCTTTAGCTTAGGAACCACTGGACCTCCCTTGACGAAAGGAGAGGAGAAAATGCTGCCCCACAATGCATTGCAGCCGCAGCATTTGCCGTCACTCAACAGTCGGCCGTTCACGGAAACAACCGATTATGACGGATAAATGATATCATGATGATCACGGTGCTTATTAAGCATTTTAAAACGTATGTGGTAAGTTGCCAAAGTGCTTTGTTCTGAACGTTCATCAGTATTATAATCAAAGAGAGAAATATGAACGTTAGTTTTTACTGAAATGATCAAATAAAGTCAACATCTCACAGTCTTCACTGAGCTGTGTGGGGTTTGTTCAACTTTTAAAAGATGTTTGAATGGTGATATACACAGTGATAGATGTTAAGGACTAACGTTTATAACCAATACATTTGTATTGATTTTAAGATATTTTCATACAATCATACGTATTGGGATCATTTGTGTTAATGTGGACCGGAGGAAGAGGGTGACGAGCTAAGTTTCACTTTTTTATTTCAATTCCAACTTTGGTCATGAAGAATATGTTTCTCTGTTGTCCACGTTCATAAAGCATAAAGCAACAGCATCAGAGCACGGTGCAGAGTCTCTAGATGAGTTTACAGTAGTCCCTCGTTCTTATTAAACATCCATGTTGTAGTCCGCTATAGAAACCTGTAGTTTCCATAGTTTCCCCACAGCAGCAGCAGACGCACATTCATGACGTCCACTGGCGCATCATACACACGTTGGATAGTGAAAGTGCATTCGGATTCTCTAAAGTACCGCAGTCTCTTCTCCTAAGTCCTTTTGAATTCTCCTATCCACTATCCCTTAACCCCGTAACGTTTCACTCAGAGGTCAAGGAATAGGAGAATTTAGGAGCTGATTTTTGGTTTATCGGAACGCAACCTATGGCTCTGATTGGTTTTCCTCACAGGTCAGCCACTGAGCCGAGCCGAGCCCAGAGCATCTGCTTCTTAGCAGCGAGAGCTACACTCCAACTCAGCGATAAGATGGCTCTTCAATATCAAGTGGCCTCTTTTCCTACCTCTACCTTAACAAACACATGCCAGGCAATGCAGTCCAGTGGTTTAGGGCCAGTGGTCCCCTGGTGCTTTTACAGACCTGATCCCACCTCTTACGTGGCAGTAATGAGTGTGTTCATTTGTTAATATGGAAGCGGCTCTGATACATATTTCAGAAGTTGTCTATGTGGTTTGCTAAGTCATGCTTTAATTATGAACAAAGTAGTAAATGTGAATTCTGCTGGATGGTAAAATGTTTCTTTTCTACTTCCCTGCTTAGCCGACCGTCTCAGAGTTCCCATGTAGACTTAAGGGAAACTGAGGCTTCTGCTCTGTGGTTCCTCTGTTACGCACACAGAACATTTGCGCACTCAGAATATTTGCACACAGATACAAATGACAAAGCCTTGAAGGCTTGAAGGCTTGACGCATGGATATTCTTTTAATGAATTGATTTTTTTTTACACCCCCCACATAGGTTTACACCCCTTATCAGAATAGAGCAAGGTAAAAATATTGTCATGCTCTTGTAAGATACGTTGTTGGCATCCCATTTGTTAAAAAGCACCCATCCAGAGGAGATTGAAGGAGAAAACAGAGCTGTTTGATGGATAGCCCATATGTCAACGCTGTCTCATTGTAAGTACATGAAAGTCCAACGAAACCACTAAGCACAAGGACGTGTGTTGAATTTCTATTGTCCTCCCACTTGAAAACACGTCAACAGAGGGTGTATTATAAGAATATATTGGTCCATTGCTATGTCAAACACACCACAGGTATGACAAAGCCACCCTCACTTCTTCTGCGCTCAGCCTCCCACCTGCCAACTTGACATTCAAACTTTATCAGTCCCCACTGCCCATTTAATCAGGACCAAGACAATGCACCTTGTCCTTCTCCTGTTCTCTGCTGTTGCGTTAGCGCTCGCTGTAAACATTCATTTGCTGTGATTGATTGGTTAGAGTAGCGCTGCATCCAATCAATGCACTCCATTGCTCGGGGGGATCTAACTCAAACAGGCCACCCCGCTCCAGAGGGATTCATTACCTGGTGAAACACACGAGAGGTCACATGACATCCTGTGACAAATGCTCGCAGGAGAGGATCCTGGGTGCACAAGGCCACTGATTGCTGTTCCCATGGGTCGATCCTAAAACGTGAAATGCATTTTGATCTGAAGCAAGAGAGGGGGTGGTAGCCTCATGAAATCATCAGCACGATTAGGATGTGAGTTGTCGCTGCTCAATCTGTCGAAAACAGTTGCCTGAGCAGAGCTATTGGGATTCAAGCTGTGTGAAAACATTTTGTTTATTTGAATGCGTTGTTATGGCCTGTAACTCTGCTGTTGTTGTGTTAATGGCAGTTGTTCTCATTTAGTTTTGGTTACCCACTCAATCAAAGCCTGTGACCTGGTTTTTGCGGTTAACCGTCCTTTTTTTCTTTGAATTGAGTTTGCATTGTGCAAGAGCATGACATATTAAAACAAGATCTCTTTGAATGAGAAAGATATTAGAATATTCTGTGCATTTTTTTGTGCCGCTCATTTAATTTTGTGTTCTGGGTTAAGACT